CCCATTCCCCCCATGCCTGGGATGAGACAAGGCACAGGCACATTCCAGGAGGCCTCCCAAAACACGGGCGGTGATTACAGCTTTCTGCCTACGCCCGGGAGCAGAGGCTGCCCCGAGGTGTCCAGCTGGGAGAGGCAGCCAGGGTCCAGATCTCATTTGCCTGAGCACGTTTGGCCGTGGAGCAGCCGGAGTCCCAGAAAGCAAGGGTTACACACGGATCTGTGCAATGACACAGCACGAGCACAATTAATTGTTGTCAAAGCTTTTGGCTGGCTGCGTTCGCCTCTTATGCAGGAGAACAAAACTGCCATAACGGTGACAACTTTATTCAACATTGGTGCAATTACCAAGCCTAAAAAGGGAAATTAAGGGGAGATTTTTCTCAGGAGGGCTGAGCTCTATTACCCGTGTCTCCTGTCTGGGACAGTGCCTCCAGGATGGAGGGCAGAAAGGAAAGAGGCTAAGATTCATTGAACGTTGCCACTTGTTACTAGGAGAGGCGCCTTACCGTTTTATTCAACACAACCCTCCCTTTAACTCTGTGGATGGCGGGGGAGCAGGGTGGAGCGCTGCGGACCGAGGTTAGCTGAGCGGCCCTGAACGCTTACTTTAATTATCACAAGCACACTCAAAGGGCAGATATCATTACCCCCATCTTGGAGCTGGGGGAGCTGAGTCTCAGAAAGGCTTAGCTTGCACAAGATCCCACAGCGCCAATCCTTCCGATTACACACCGCACGGAGGTGCCTGCTGTGAAGCATGGGAGGTACACAGAGCACACTTCTGGGCAGCCGCATGCCTGCTGCTCTCTCTCCCCGTTGCTCTTCTTCCTCACGTCCCTTTGCCCTCCCGGGACCATCCCGCCCTTTCAGGAGTTCAAAAGGGGTCAAGGCCTGGAGTTGAAAAGCCTTTGGTTGGAGTCTAGGCTCTGGGACTCACAAGTAACTGTGGCCTAGGCTCATTTGTTTAACCTCTATAAGCTTTAGGATTTGACTATAAATTGGGGGCAGAGATAGTTCTGACTTCATCACACTGTCGTGGGGACTGAATGAGAATAGGCGTGTCATGTGCTGTACACAGGGCTCGGCCCACGGCTAATAGCCGACCGCAGTGGTTATGGTGATTGGTCAAGAACGGGGCATTAATAGAGGTCTCAGGTCCCAGCCTGACCTCCATGCAGGGAGCAAGGCATCGGGAGGGCAGCTGGGTCCAGGGACCTCCCCTCCTTCCCCACATGGCTGGTGACGTCCCTCCCGAAGGAGGACCTTGCCCTGGATGGGCACAGGGCACAGTAAGAGCGACAAGGACAGCTCGCCCCTACGAGGAGTTAGGCAGTGCTTACTGTGGGCAGGGCCCTCTTCTAAGTTCTTTGCAAGTATGATGTCATCTCCTCTTTCTAACAAGTCAGTGCAGTGGGTGCCATTATTCACTGTACTTGGCCAAGTGACAAGGCAGCTTCAGTGACGTGCCCCGCGTCCTGCTCTGACTCTCCGGGCATGACCACGCCAGGCCTACGTTCTGCCTCCCTCAGGGAAAAGGAGCCAGGTCACCAACACCGTATTGTCTGTGCCCCCGAGAAACTCTCTCCTTGATGCCCAGGCTTGTGCTTGGCAGGGAGAGCCTCCGTCACCGAAGGGCGCCCCTCCCTGTGTGACCCACCCGCAGGGCCATGGCGCCTGCCTCCCTCACCTCCCTCCCCGTGGCCGTGTCTGTGCAATAAGCAGCGAGGGACAGCTATAGGAGCAGAGGAGATGGCGCGAGAAGCGGCAGACCGAGGTGTAAGTGTCACCCCTGGGCAGCAGTGGGCCTCTGCAAGTGACCACTTCACAGGGTTTCCTCACCTAGAAAGGAGGCACTGTTGACCTCACGGTATTGTTCAGAGGCTCAGACAAAAGCATGGGAAGTACAGAGAATACTGCATTGATGGCCACTGGTAGAATTGGCCACTTCGTTGCAGCACTGGGCTTCCATCTGGACCTCCCAGACAGGCCTCCCAGGGAAGCCGCACCTACCCTGAGCCTCCGTGGTTTCTGCGTCTGCGCATCTGTAAAGCAGGGGCGAGACTATCCTGCTTTGCAGACCCGTTGGGAGGGCAGGGTGAGGTCACGGTGAAGGCTTAGCACAGCGCCCAGCACACAGCATGGGCCTCGCCAATGGTGCCCGTTACTCTTTCTAAAGCCTTGCCCGAGGACATCAGAGACAGAGAGAGAGAGGAACAGCGACGTGAAAGAGAGACATCTGTCAGGTGCCTCACGCACGTGGCCCAGCAGGGGGTCAAAGCCGCAACCCAGGCATGTGCCCTGACCGGAAATCAAACCTGCAACTTCTTGATGCATGGGATGATGCTTCGACCAACGGAGCCACCCAGCCAGGGCACTCCACCCATTACTCTTCCTCTTACTTTTATTCTTATCAACATGATTAGCTCCCCTAGGAATTGAAAACAGCCTCAAACTCCCAACAAAACACTTGGGTTATTTTTTCCCTAGCACAACTTGTAGGAGGAAAACATTGGATGTTTCTCTTTCAGAAACATAAGAACTGCCTGAGAGGCACTTGCAGCTTTTAAAGCTTTCAAAGGACCACCTTACAAAAGAACCTCCTACAATAAAGCAAGTGTGCGGCTGGCACGTGAAGGAAAAGAAAATCAGGCACTTTTGCTCTACTTTAACAATCTTTTCTCAAAAGGTTAATGTTACTAATCAAACCTTTAAAGGACCCTAAGCTACTTTGCCAGCTTTCAGGAGTGATGGAAAGGGCATGGGGTTGTTAAAGTCTTGTGATTTGGCTTCAAAGGCAGGTCTGTGACTGCTGTGTGACTATAGGTAAGTCACTTACCCTCTCTGGGCTTCAGCTGCCTCACTTAGAAAATGAGAAAAAGAATAGTATCAGCTTTGTAGGATTGTGAGGGGGGTCAAATGAGAAGATGTGAAAGCAATGTGTAAAATGGTAAGCACTGTGAAAATGCGAATTGCTATTATTCACTGTTAAGAGAAATATCTAATTTACTGCTCGGTCACAGTAAACAGAGTATCTCTGGAAGCTGGTATGTCTGTATCCTCCTTTTTTATAAGTTTGAATTTCCATCCCTATTTTAATGTTCTTTCTTTGGTGTCTGCTACTATAAGCTACTTCAAATCTTTCTGAAAGGAGCAAAGTATTGGGTTGGCCAAAAAGTCCATGTGTTTTTTTCCGTAAAATAAAAGATAAGTTTTTCATTTTCACCAATAACTTTATTGATTTGGATATTTTGAGTATGTCAGTTATCTCCTGCATGGTATAACATTGATTGTTCTCAATTAATGTCTCAATTTGATCGTTATCAACTTCAACTGGCCTACCTGACCCATGGAGCATCATCCAGCAAGAAATCTCCAGCACAAAACTTCGCAAACCACTTCTGACACGTTTGATCAATCACAGCACCTTCTCCATACACCGCACAAATCTTTTTCTTTGCATTTCAGTTGCATTTTTACCTTTCTTGAAATAATAAAGCAAATAAGCGAAAAATGTTGCATATTTCCTTCCACCTTCAATATTAAAATGGTTGCACAAAAAATGACCAATTTTGCTAAGGTTTTTTAAATGCACGCTGATATGACAGCTGCCACAATACAATCTAATAAAATTGTTTCGAATGAAGTTAAAGACCACTAACGGTTACTAGAGCCATCTTATGGGAAAAAAACAAATGAACTCTTTGGCCAACCCAATATAAACACAAACTAAACAGCTCCACAATGAGAACGGACCTGGACCTTGTACCCCTCCCTTTCCATTGTATTTGTGAGGTAGTTACGGGGTTAGATTTGCCACCCGCAGCCTGGACACCAGGGTTGTTTCTCTGGGTGAAGGCAATGGCTCTTCCCAGGAGTGGTGTCGAAGACAAGGCCAACCAGCCCTAAAGGTGACTCTCCGTCCCAACCACACTTACCCAGCCAGGACCGTGGGGAGTGGCCAAGGGGAAGCTTGCTTCCAAAAATACCACCTCGAACTCTCTGGTTTTATATCTTCAGCCTAAGAGCAAGAGTCCATATTTTGTTTTCTGTAGAATATTTAGAAGCAAAATGCCTTTTTGAAACTTTGCCTTTTCTACCTACCAGTTTACCAACCACGTGGAGGCGAATCCAGCCCATGACGAGGTTTAAAGGAGACAGCCAGGAAGACGAGACACCCCAGGTGCCACTGCGCTTTACACATAGCACATTACGCGTCACACAAACACCATTCATAAGCCTGAGTCACAGGGTTCAGACGGGAGCTGAGTACATGTATAAATAGCCTGCGTGTGTCAAACAGAAGAAAAGGGGGGCAGTTCGGGGAATAAAGTCAGCAATCATTGTGCCCAATCTGAGCATCATAAAAATCTCAGCCTTTTTTGTATTTACAACCTTCTAGCACAACTCCTACTCAAAAAGGAGAGAATGTCACATGGAAAAGTCTAAATAAGCGAACATCTTCACGTTGAACTAAACAGTACGGATGATGCAGCATCATAAAATAAAGCTGTAATTATGTTGTCTCGTTACATCTTAGCTGCCGAATGCCCCCAGCTCTGAGCAGCTGCCCCAGCACTTTCTGGCCTCAGAACTGCCGGGGGTTCCTTAAAAGGCAGTAGCTTTGACTAATGTTGACAACTGTGTGCATTTCCATGACCCGTGATGGCTTCGGGTGGTAACACCGTGAACATTTAGGAAATGGTTTTAAAAATCTTTTTCTTTCTGTGAGTCCTCCTCTCTGGCCCCCGCCCCCACCCCCATATCCATGACTTTGGGCTTAATTCGTTACCAACGTATGGCGCCAACCCAGCTCAAGACGTTGCTGCGCTGGGCTTCCACAAAGCAAGGCATGAACACAGGCATCCCTGAAACCTCACGGCCGCCCACGGCTGAAAGGTGGTGGCCCGCCCTCCAGCCCCTCCCCTGAGGTGAAGGGCGTCACAGCAATTTGGAAGGAACACGAGAGCCTTGGGTGGCCCACGACATCCGGGAGGCCTTCAGTGGGACCCACAGACCCAGCCTTGACTCTGGGTCATTCCATGCCTTGGCAGGCACCTTCCAGACTTCCAGTCCCAACTCCCATGGGGCAGGGAATCAGAGTGAACGTGGGGGGAGTTGTTTGATGAAGTGGATCCAGGAAGCAGCAATTCTTGCTCAGGAGGCCCCCGCTGCTCGGAAGGGGTCTACCACCCGAGTGCGGCGTGAACACTGAAGCCTGGGACACACGGTTGACGCGGCCTCCCAGCTGCCGCCCATCCCAGTTCTGGGTGAGTCGGTGTCGGCCGGGTCTCCTTCTCACACGTCCCCACTCGGGTCCCTTCTCCAGTCGCCAGCATATGTGACTTCTCAGCCTCCGCTCTCTCCCATCCCAGTCTCTGATGATGTGCGTGGTCTTTAAGAGCTCACTAAAGTGTAGATCATGCTGCACGCAAAAAGAAGGGGGAGAGAAGGCATTAGTGGGGGCTGTGGGGGACTCAGGCTGGCTCACAAAAGAGGCACCCGCCAAAGGCCAGCTCCTTGTCATTCCTGTCACTAGCGCATCTCATTGGACTAAACCTTTGTTAGGAGAGCATATTGTGTCTCTTAGATGAAAGATGTGACGCTCTGAGTGCCTATTACGACTCTCATCGGGCTGATTACTGTGGCTGTTAGTCCTCTTTCCCTGACTGCAGGCGGGTCTGGGGGCGGGGGGGGGTGCGGGACAGCTGTGGTGGCGTCTCTGTCCCACCAGCTGCCTCCTGCCCACAGGACAGCTGTGTGCAGGGGCTCCCAGCTCAGGCTGGGAGACATGGCAGTGCAGGCGAATTCTGTAGGACCAGGGCGTGTTTTGCACAAAATACCCACTTTATCACTTGGCAGAAAGAAAAACAGCACCTTTTCACAAGGTAGAGAGGAAAAAGGATAATCTGAGAAAGAAAACCAAAGGAAAAACCTGAAGTGTTTTCCTTCCAACCCCGTCCAGCTGCAAAGCCGCAGCGAGCTCTTCTGCGTGGCTGCAGCCCCGATGCAGGTTTGGAGAACCTGTCAAGGGAGCGCCTCCCACCAGCCCAGCCCCCCCCCCGCCCCCCTGAGGTCGGGAGATGATGGTGAGTGTGCAGCCCCCGTCCTCGCCTGGAGCGGGGTGCACAGCCACCCTATAGTGATACCAAGGGCTTAGTGAGCACCTACTATGTGCAAGGCACTGCAGACACAGAGGTGAATAAAACAGACGAGGCCTCTACCATCAAGAAAACCATAAACACAGCTCTCCATACACGTGGGCCCCCTTCCCTCTCAAAGACAGTGGCCTGGGCTGACAGCCCTGGGCTTTCTACCAGCTCCGGATCTGAAAAGCTGGGAGCTCCTGAAGCAGAAGAACAAGGCCTTTGATGAGCGTCAAAGAGCCCCCATGGGAGAAAGAGGAAGCTTGGCAGCCACCCAGGGTCCCAGTGAGGCCCGAGGAGCAGTTGTTTCCAATTTTGTTTTGGATATAAAGTGATTAACAAATGTCTCATGAAGCAGCGCCAAACTGAACTAAGGGACAGACAGTCCAACAGAATGTCTGGAACACCATCCGTTGTAGAATAATCACACCCAACGCCCCACGCGGCACCCCCACCCCGCAGCGCAGCCCACAGCGCTGCTCTGCTCTGTCTGCAAATGCCTATGCCTTCTTCCCCACAATGCCTTGGGCTCAGCAGTTACCGCAACACAACTGAAATGAGGGAGCTTGACTGGCCTCTGTCCCAACCTGAGCGAAGGTGGACCCCAGGCCAGCGGGCAGGAGCCAGGGGAAGCCTGGTTTGGCTGGCTGTGAGGAAGGCAGTGCTGCCTCTGGGGGCAGGCCGCTCGGTCTAGGCCTCTATCACAGGAGCCATCTGCGAGCCTCAAAGAGCGAGGCTGAGTGTGTTGGGGGAGGGAACCACCTCCACGTTAGCCCAGGAGTCCAGTTGCCAATAGGGTTTGGGCTGCTCTCTGTAGGTTTCCCGAGACAGGACGCAGCCAGAGCGAGCTCTAGTGGCCGGAATGACCAGATTTGGAGTCAGAGGACTTGGGGGAACCCGCTGGCACCTCGGAAATCTCCAGAGAGGCTGCAGAGACCCTCAGGTGCCTTGCAAGTTGAAGCAGGCTATGGCCCAGAACACTCCATCCATCCAGGAGGACGGAAGAGGCCCCCTTGCGCCTCGACCAAGCCTTGACTCCAAGAAGATTCTGGTAGAATAACTGGCTCCCCTCCAAGGCCGGGTTATTCCAGGGGAAGCCGCTCAGGGCCCCTGAGTCTTCTGGACACAGGATGGATGAAAAGGGGAGTGGAGGCAGAACCAAGGAGCACCTCAGGGTGGGGGCCTCACCCCCAGGTGGGCTGCTGAGCCGCCAAATTCTGAATCAGCAGATCTAAGCCCGGGAATGTGCGTTTTAAGAAGCATTCCCTCCTCTCCCCCGACTGTGATGCAGAAGCTCCAAAGACCACACCTGGAGCAAGACTCTTCTAGAGGTTGCCCAAGGCAGGCAGCAGTTCAGAGCTGTCACTGGGGTCAGAGTTGAGATGGACTAACAGCTGCCACACTGTTAGCTGTCACTGGGAAAATTATCTAATCATCCTGGATTCCGTTTCCTCCTCGTGGGCATATGGGCAATGATAGCATTCAGCTCATAAACTGAGCGAAGCATGTGAAGCTCTTAGACAAAAGCCTGGCTCGTTTTTAAACGCTGGACAAAGGCAGCCATTTCCCATCCTGTTCTAGCCCCGCCGGAGCCCTGAGGTAGCCCTGGACTCTAACACCCCACCCTCCTCTTCCTCACCCAGATGCTGTCTGCCAGATGCTGTTCTGGAGACAGCACTGGGATACCTGAGGAGAGCGTGCCCCGCCCCAGGTACCAAGAGGACAGCAAGAGACAGGCGAGACACCGCAGAGACCAAAGGGGAACAGGAAGAAGGAAGAGATGTTTCCAGAAAAGGCACCTTCTGGGGTAGGAAGCAGAAGACAGTCCGTTGGTAGCCACCTGCTCAGCTAGGATTTCTGGGTGAGGGCGTGGCGGGGGGGACACCTGAAGCAGGCCTGCAACGTCAGTGCGTTTTACTTAATTGGAATGGTGTTATGTCGCATCGGGAGAAGGGGAGGTGGAAGCAGTTAATGACGCTCATGCCCCGTGGTGAAGCGTGGCTGCCACCAGGGTCTCTGCGAGGGTCCCAAGAGTGCTTCCACACAGGTGCAGGGGCAAGAAGGGCAAGGCCGGGCCTCAGCGCCACAGGGGGCCTGCGGGCCCACTGCGCAGCTGCGGGCGGCTGTGCCCCGTGGGGCGGTGCGTAGGGACTGTTCTCGCCGAGTGCCCTAAGGGTGCGCAGGTCGGCCGGCAAGGCCTCCAGCAGGACCCCTGTTCCTCACTGCTTCATACAGGAGCCCTTGCTCCCAGCCCAAGTCCCACAGCTGGCGTCATAGGGCAGAGGGTCACAGGCCACCTCCGGACGACCAGGAGACCAGCCTGAAATTGCCCACTGCTTTCTGCAGGAGTCAGACCCCCGGGGCAGGGGGGCGGGGGTGCCAGACTCACCAGTACAGGTAGTAGAAGAAGGAGAGGAGGTAGAAGGCCAGCTTGCACCAGGCCTCCTTCTGACAGTAGCTCAAGGTGTCCGCGGTCATGACTGCCGGTGGGTCGTAGGCCAGCTCGGAGCTGTCGGCCGGACAGTGGAAGTACCTGCAGGGGGAGAGCGCGTGGCATCACTGGACCTGAGGTGCAGGTGGGACATCCAAGCCCCACCACTGCTGGGCTGCCCTCCGGGACGCTCCGCTCAGCAGATGTCTGCCCTCTGCTCGACCCACAGCCCCGGGCCTGCCTTCTAGCAGGTTCCAGGAACTCTCCAGCTACTCAGGTGTCATGGCAATTTCACCCACGCACCAAGCTGCTCCATGGAGGGGAAACGTGGCACATGGTGGCACGTGGTGGCACCTGGGACACAGCCACTCACAGAACAGGTATTTCAGCTCCCTCCTCCTTCCCCTTCACAGGATGGCACTGGCAGGACCTGCCATGCCTCTGTGTTCACAGGAGGTCACAAGCCAGGTCCAAGGACATCTGCTAGCCCATAACTCCCTAGGCCACTCGCCTCTCCTCTTCCCAGGGGCAGATGTCAAAGCCTGTTCGCTGTTGCTGCGGCCTTGTTCCCAGGTGGCCTCATTCAGTGGAGGCAAGGGTGCCAGTGCTCTGCCGCTCAGTGGTCACCAGGCTGACCTTCCTCTGGTCAGTCACCACCCTCTCTGAGCCTCCACGTACCCATCTGTAAAATGGGAGTGGAGCTGCCTACTCTGAAGGCCTACTGCGACGACTATATGAGGGGACAGATGCAACTCATCTGCAAAGACCAGGAACCAAGTAACAGTTCCACAGTTCTACTTTCATTTAAGCAAACAGAGCTGGGGCAGAGAGGGCTCTGTCTGAATGAGAAATGTCACTGGCCCCGGGCCTGTTGGAAGGGAGGGGGTGGGGACAGGTGGGAACGGAAATGGAAAAAGGAGGGCAGCTAAGGGCTCCCGGTTTTAAAAGACCCCTCCCTCCTCATTCCTTTCTCTCTCATTTTCTGAGTGCTCGTACAATGCCAGAGTGCGGCTAGACCCTAACAGGGATTCTAAAAGAAAAGTAAGGAAAGGTCCCTCCTGGCGAGGAGACTGCAGTGGCCCTCACACCGAGGTGACATTCCAAGGATGCTGGCTGCCTCCCTCTTTCTCCCTCTTGAAGGAGCAACAGCCCTAAGGAGCAGCACACACGTCAAAGCCCGGTGAGTGAGCCACAGCTTCGATGGATGGCAGCACACTGTGCCAACGGCCTCGGTTCAACGCCTGTCTCCGGGAGAGGAGCCAGCCTTCTGCGGCGGCATGCCAGGGGACAAGGACACGAACTGCCATCCAGAGGCTCACCCCTGCCTGGCCCTGCTATGTTCTAACTGAGCGACCCCAGGCACTGACACAATAGCCACTGTGTCTCCATGTGTAAAATAGAATAGGAAGCGCTACTCACCCAGGTGTTGAAGCTACTGGGTGAGGAAGGCGAGGAAAGTTCCTGAGCGGGTTTGCAACACACGTCAGCCCCGCAGCGGTTCTGTCTGACATGGCTCTGAGTCCAGGTTTTAGACTCCCATACTTAAAGCAGGACTTTCCTATGTAACTGAAGCATTTTCCTTCCTGCCAAGACCTGCAGCTCCTCTCTGCTCTGGCCAGTGGTGGCATCGCCCGCCCAGGCACCTGGCTCCGAGGCTCCCTCTCCCTCACTTCCTGCCCCCAACTGCTAGCCATGGCCTGTCTGCTTTACCTCCACGTATCCCCTCCTCTCTCCATTCCAAATTGCACTGCCCGGTCCTAGCCTCCACGAGCTCCTGGAATTTCGTTATAACCTCCCAATTGGATTTTGCCCTGAAAAATCAGTTTGGGTAATGCCACTTTGCTCCTCAAAAGCTTCTGAGGGCCATCTGTTCCCCACAGAATAAATGAACTCCAGCCTCCCCATCCAGTCGTTTCAGACCTGCATCCCTGGTCCCCAGCTGCCTGTCCGCCCATCTCTGCTCCCTTCCCCCAGCAGCCCCACCTACTGAACAAGAGCTGTTCCCCAGACACACCAGGTACTCTCCGGCCCCTGAGCCTTGGCATCGGCTGGCCCCTCAACCTGGAATGTGCTTTTCCAGAATTTGCGGTATCACCCTTCCAGTCTAATTTGAATGCTCATTTCTCGAAACTCCTGCGTCTATTCCCTATATATTTGTTAAAGATATATTTCCCCCTACCTCTTGGGTATATATTCCTTGAGGGTAGAGATCACATTTTACACTCATCTTGACACCCCCACAATATCTGGCATGCAGTATGTGTTCCCTACATTTGCCCAATGAAGTAAAGAATACTCGAGATGGGACCAAATACAGACTATAGTTTAGGGTAAAATGATAATGATGAGATGTTTTGGGGGATCATAGTTCTGGGAGCACGGGGTAAAGGGCGGTTAATTTATCTGCACAATTGCATTCTTCACTACTTTTGAATCCCCCTTCCTGCCTCCTATATCCCTAGGGTGACTGTATTTTCCATAAAGCCCAAATCACATGACCCGATGCCCAGCCTTAGCAGGGAATGGAAGAGTTAAAATAGAACTGTCCCAGAAAACCTAGCCCGTCTGGTAGGCATATTTGTGTGTGTGTGTGTGTGTGTGTGTTTAAATTAAGGTACAATTCACATACCAAAAAACCCACCTTTTTTAAATTGCACAATTCAGTGGGTTTTAGCATATTCATAGAGTTGTACGACCACCACCAGTATCGAATTTCAGAACATTGTCCTCACCCTGAAAACAAAACCTGTCCCCCATAGCAGCCACCCCCAGTGCCCTCCCTCCAGCCCCAGGCACCGCCAGTCCTCTTTCTGTCTCTACAGATGTGCACATGTTGGACATTTCACACAAGTGGCCTTTTGTGAGTGGCTTCGTTCACTTGAATTTCTCCCAGGTTCATTCATGTTGTAGCATGTATCAGCACTTCGCTGATTTTTATTGCCAAATCGCATTCCATTGTAAGGATAGACCACATTTTGTTTATCCATTTACCTGTTGACAAACATCTGGGGTGTTTCTACTTGTGGCTATTGTGAATTGCGCTGTAGCTGCTTTTAACACTGGCCTGCAGGGTGGAGACTGGTCAGCAGAGCCTATCAAGGAGCCGTCCTGTATTGGACTTGCTGCCCAAGAGTAGCTTGGGGAGAAGGTGCGGGAGAAAGGTTCTCCCAGAGAAGAGGCGAGAGGAAGACGCTCAGCGCCTGGTCTATTTGGGGAACGTCGTCTCTGGAGGGCAGGCCGCCCCAGCAGGAAAGGGAAGGGACAGACCTGTCCCAGGCAGACTTACCTCCAGAAGTGATAGAAGAGTAGAGGGACATTGAGCCCCAGGGTGAGCCACTCCTGAGCACACAGGAACATGACGCAGAAGAGGCTGTGGATGGAGTACTCGGGCAGCACCAGCTGCAGAGGGGCAGAGAGCCAGGGCTGAGTTAGAGGGAGCCAAGCCGCATTTCGTAACTAAGTGATGCTGTCTTTATTCTCAAACCCAGGGAGGAACACCTTGCATGGACCCCCATCTTAGAATTCGCAGGCAGTAGCCCTGGAATCCATCGAATAAAAGGGCCATCGGCCCAGTGTCAGCGACCTGAACGAGTGGACCGGGGCACAGCCCTTCGGCCGCAACCAGCTGGTGGGAGGGGGTGTGCCCCATCGCTTCTCCTCACAGGACATGGCAGCCATGCTGGGCAACATCACTGGGGTCGGCCAAGGCTCCGCCCTGCCTCCCCTGCCAGGGAGGGAGCGCACGCACGTTCTGGGAGCGGGGCATGCCGGCCCCTGGAGGCAGTGGCTGTGACCTCTGCCGCGCACCACGTCCCTTTTCTAAATCACTGGTTCCAGCTGCCCAGGCAGAGACAGTTGGCAGGGTTGGCGCCGGCCCCCGGCCTGAGCCATCCGTGGAGGCACCCTCCCCGTCTCCACCTGCGGTGGCGAATCTCTGACCTACTACAGCGTGGATCTCGGGTTCCACTGTCAGTCACCACTGCTTCTCCCCTCTCCAGGGCCTGATTTACAGTGGAAGCTGTGACCTCCGGGGCAGGGAGGATTCGTCACTGTCACCACGCTGAGGAAAACTGCCTGAAGGAAGCCAGCCTGTTGCGGGGGGCGGGGCGGGGTGGGAAAAGCTGAAGAATCCATCCTGATCTCTGGGTGGCTTCTCCCAATTGCCTCTTATGGTCACTGAACAGGCTCTTCTCAAGTGGGAGGGGCTTGTCCAATTCACTGGGGAGGCTTTGGGGAGGGACGGGGCCCTTATCATACACGCACTGGTTTTGCTGTCCTTGCCGCGGGGGTGTGGGAGGTGCAGGGAACTATTCCTCCCGGACCAACACCAGGCCGGCAGCAGGGCGCTAGTGCTGCCCGCGCGCTCTGCCTGCGGGCTCCCCATCCTTGGGTAGAGCTGAGGGCTGGGCGCAGAACTGATGTGCAGAGAAAGCTGGACCATCTCCTGGACAGTGCAAAGCGTTCCAGCGTCTCTTTCCTCCCCTCGGACAGAGCATAAAACACTTAGGGTGGTGGGTGCCCCAACATCCTAAAACCACAAGTGAAGGCGAGAGGCCCCAGGGTGGCCGGTGACGGACATGGAGCGTGAGCGAGCAAGATGCGGGTTATTTTGAGCTACTGAGATTTGAGAGTTATTTCTTACCATGGCATCATTTAGACTATCTCGTCAGACACAGGGAAAAAGTAAGCCGCCCCTGACCATCCACATCCAGACCTTCCTTCCACGGGCACGGGACATGCTGTGGCAGGGGGTGAATGACCACCAGGCAGGGACAATGCTTGTGTTAGTGGGGACAGCTGGACTAGATGCCCCCTCCCAACCCTGAGCGTACCTGTTATATAAAGACCGCCCCAGAACCCACGAGGCCAACTACAGAAACACTGAGTGAAGCGCTGACCGAGCCGCGTGACGCGGAGCTGGCCCTGGCCCTGGAAAACGCCGGTTGGTTCCGTGGGAGGCGCTGCTGAAAGGCGCCAGTCTCACTCTTCCCCACAACAAACAGGAACTATTTCACACGGGCCGCAGTCTATTGAAGTCTCCTGCCTTTTTATGCTCTGCTTTATAGCGTTATAAATATTCAATAAGTGGTCTCAATATAGGTGTTGTGGGATTGCTGAAAAGACTGCAATTCATTCCAACCAGGGGCTCACGGGAGGCTCTCTGATCAGGGCGGAACCAAGGGACGTGTGAATGGACGAGTAAAGCCTGATCACGCGAGGGAGCCAGAGGTCAGCATTTCAGGACCGAAGACCTTGGGAGCCAAAGGAGAGAGCCACAGCGGCCCCTGGGTGGGTGGAGCCTGCGACAAGGGCCACCCACCCACGTCGCTGGCAGCGAGGCCAGGCCTGACAAGAGCCGAGGGCTGGGTAAGTGTTCATTTTACTACCCTCCTACAAGGCCCAGCCTTCTCAGCCCCTGGTGCTGGGGCCTCAGAGTGTCACCCTCATAAGCTGAAGGGCGGGGACTTGCCATGAGCCTGTGATGACAACACACCCTGGCCCGCGACACCCCTGCTCTGATGTGTGGCAGAGGTCAAAGGTCAGGTAAAATTCTCAGAGCACGCTAGCCAAGCTCCGAGCTCTCACCCACTGCCCAGCTTCTTCCGTCGCTTCTAGGAGGATGCATGTGGCCTTGGGTGAGGACCTCCTGTCCTGGCTTCCTGTCCAGATTCTCATCCTCCATTGCCATTTGCTGGTAGGCATGTCCCTCTGGATATTCCACCGCCACCACATGCTGAAGGCTCACACTCCTCCCAGCACCTGCAAACGTGGTCTCCTAAATTCCCCGTTTCTGCTAACAGCTATCTCCAATTCCTCAGTCGCGTCCCCTTGCACACCTGGTTCCAAAGCCAGCCACCTGCATTTGCTCCTCCCTTTTTTATGTCTATGGCCCCCCGTCGGTCAGAGCCCCTGCTCCTCCCCCCAAGGCTGGTACAAGGACCTTGGAGTGGGTTGCCATCCCCGTACCCAAGCTCCCGCCACCCAGCAGAGCAGCGGCCTCCTCTCCCCTGCATGTGCCACACTCCACTGAGCTCTAAGCCTTCCTCCACACCCTTGTTTCTCCAGGAATTTAGTTTTTATCTTAATTGTGTTCAAAATACTTCATTTCTATTTATGCATCTTAATTCACTTATGTATCCATTCATTCACTGCTTTAGCTCACGAATGATGTTATATACCATATTTATACATTATGGGAGAATAATGTAATGTGGGACCAACTTCTAATTTCTGCCTTATTCCCTTGCTGCAGTGGGAAGGGGCTACGGAGCCCGGATGGGAGCTGTTCTAACCCCCAAAGGGAAAAGAAGTAGAGAGGGGATGTTGGAGGTGAAGGGAAGGCATGAAGCTCCTTGGGAGAAACAGGATTCCTAAGATGCATTTCTCACAAATGTCAGACATGGAGATCTGTTCTCCATCTGTCCCCAAATGAATAGTTGTGCACGTGGGGGGAGGGGAAAGATGGCGTGCTTAGGGACCTTGCATTTTGCTACACTGGACGACTGTAAGAGTCCCAAGCACTGTCAGGAGAACTTGCTCTGAGTACCGCTGCTCAAAGGAGGCTACTTGCTCTTTTCTTGCTCTGAGCAAAGCTCTTAGACAACTAGGGTGGGGAGGGCAGCCCAGCCTCTCAGGCTGTGCCACAGGTCTCTGACCTCTCATGCTGGGGACTAGTACCCCAGCCTCTGATGGCACAATACAGCAGCAACACCCCATAGCCGGGACTTGAGGTTGGGCTCACTTGAGCGTTGCCTGTTTGATGGTGCTGCATGTAAAACTGTCTGACCTCCTGGATTTTGCACCAGTGTTTATCAAATATGTTTAAGGGGTAAGCCGATGACCCTGGCACATAAACAGCTTAGCACAGGATGACCTAGTCTAGAATTGTAACGGAAAAAGCCACTATGATGTCAATCTGTCGCAAGCCAGCTGTGCGAGCACCCAGGACTACGGAGGTGGCTCTCAGAGATTCACTGCCAGCCGCTCTCCTAAACGCCTGGGCCGAGCATGGCTGCGCCCTTGTCAGGATCAGGCACGCACAGCCGATCCCTGGGGACTGCGCCAGGCTGAGAGGGAAGCCTGTCACAGATCACTTGTCCCGCGGGCCTGTTCTTGCACAGCAGGAATGCAGGCACATAGGAGGGTAAGAGCAAGAGACGGGAGTCCTGCCTCAGGGACCCGGGCCCTGATGACCGAAGAGTATTCTTTCTGGCCTGGGAAAGCCAGGTGGCCACTGGGGACAGGGAGGTGGGGGAGGGGCCCCAGAGTGCAGTTTCCAGCTCCAACGGGGCTTCCTCTCCTGGCCTCCCCCTGTCCAATCACATGGGGCGCTCTGGTTTCTCCCCGCTGTCCCAGAGCACATTTAATCCACACTGGGAAGTTCCTGCTGCTTTCTCGTCACCCACATGAATTCACTTCTACCTCTGCATGGGGACACAGCAGCACAGAGAGGACAAGGCCAAGGGCTTGCCCCCACCCCACCGCCCACTGCTTCTGACTGCCTAGTGTGTGAACATCCGGTCACTGCCCAGACCCGAGGCGTCTGCTGGGACTTGGCTGCGCACTGGTCCTCGCACTCCCGACACGCCCTGCCACGGTGGACGCTCTGCCTCCCTGCTCTCCACCCGGAGCCCCCGGATCTGCCTGTGCCTTCCTGTCCTGACAGCTCCTTGGGGACCAGCTGCCAGCCTGGCTGGCTCTGGTGTCCCTAGTCTCACTCCCGTCTCCCGGGGCCCTCGTCACCAGCAGGGCCATGGGCTGGGGACACTGGCCAACCAGGAATTCCTCCCTCTGTGATGGGGAGAAAAGCTGTGCATGCATAGCAGCACCAGGAGGAGGAACGGCCCTTTCACCCGAACCCACAGGCGCCTCAGCTTTGTCCCTGGAGGAGAAGGCAGTCGGGAAGAGGTGGCAGCACAGGCCTGCTCCCTGCTCTGCAGCCTGACCGCCCGGCCCGCCGCCCCTCTAGCCCACTTCTTTATGCTTCCCCATTACTTAGCAGTGGTTCTCAAACTTCCAAATCACTGGCAGGTTTTGCTAAAACACCCTGGCTGGGCCCCAGGCCCAGAGTTTCAGATTTGGTGGATCCAGGTGGGGCCTGGGGATCTGCTCTTGTAACCATTTCCCTGGTGACCCTCCAAGAACCTGGCTCCTCAACGTGGGTCCAGGGCCAGCATCTCCAGCATCCCCTGGCGCTTGCTCAAGGAGCACAGAATTTTGGCTCCTCCCCTGGACCTGCTGAATCAGAACCTGCATTTTAACAGGCTCCCCAGGTGACTTAGATGCACAGTAAAGTTTAAGAAGTAGCTGCTCAGTCTGATTCCCAAAACAGGGAGCCCCCCCGCCCCCGCCCGCATCAGAATGCCTGGGGCCTTTGTTCACAAGGCAGATTTCTGGGT